TAGGGTATACCCTAACCGATACCGTTGCAAAAGCTGGCGTCGGAGTAGTCTTCGAGGATGCTAATCCCGGAGGTAGCTAATGTGACGAGCACGCTAAATCTCGTTCACCGACATCGAGGAGAAAAAAAGCATCGCCACGGGGTACTAACCCTGCACGCCGGAAGCGTTTGATTGACGGTCTGTTCATTAACGACCGGCGCGGATAGAGGCGGTAGCGAAAAAGGTTACCTAGTTGTCCACGGCTCTGGAATAATGATGATCCTAGGGGACGGGTTCGCGACAAATTATACGGTGCCCGGGACAGAACGATGCACCCGGTGGCTCGGCTGCGTTGCAAAACGCGTGATTACGTGCGTGCACGCGCGATTATAGGCGAATCGCGTCCCCCGCTCCGCAGGCCCCCTACGCCTGCTGCTGTTGTTCCTTTCTCATCGTCGCGGCGCGTTTGGCCACGCTTTCGCTCGCCGGCGAATCCTCGTTGAGAAAATTCCCGTAATCCGCGCCGGATCCGCGCGTCTCCTCCTCAAAGCCTTTGACTAGCTTGTCACGCAAATTCGGCTGACACAGTTCTGTCGCGGGCGTTTGGAATGGTTTTACAATGCTGAGGTCTGCGAATAAGACACGCATGTCGAATGCGAGATAGGATTTTCTTCTCGAGTATCCGATGCTTGGTAGTTGTAGAGTTTTGTTAGCTTTGGTTTCGTTGTGTAGTTAAGTCTTTGCACTGGGAAGAGTGCTTGATTTGATATAGCAGAATTTATGTATTCCTCGTCAGTTTCGGTGAGAACTGATTTTCTCGATGGTATGTGCAGCTGATGTTGTTGGAAGTAGATGCTAGAAACAATAGCTGAACAAGGATTTTCTTTCCTTCTCATTTGCCATGCTCCGGTATACTATCTAGGAATTCGGTAGACACAGCGTGGACATGACACTTCTTGAAAAACAGATCCTCAGGAATGTGTTAACAGAGCCGGTTTCACACTATAGACGCATATAGGTGAGGTACGGTCGAAAATAACGCGGCGCTAAGCTTTCGAGGCCAATCCCGTCCAACCGAGAAATCGTTCGCGCGAGATACAACCCTGCGGACAGGGTCGATCGTTTCGACGCGTCGGTGGCCACGGACGGAATTAAATGAGTATCTAAAAAGAGGACGTGATACGTTTCGTAAATATTACGGAGAAACACGAAAACAATTCACTAGTGACCAATTCTAGACACCCCATTCAATTATCAGATCGTTCTTGGCAGCGAGCGAGTGCCGGATGTTTGCGCTGGTTATAGCGCGGCCGAGGAATGGAATGAAACTTTCAACCCCTCGCAATTCCGACCGGGAGCTGAAGATTTCAAATTGAATCCCATAAACATGAATTTTCTTTCGCCGCTTCTGCGGACGAGAATGATCGCACCTACTTTAACGAAATGGTATATAATAATATTCCGCCGTTAACGTATTTATTTACCTATTTTTTCCTCCGCTTTCCACAGTAAATATAGACTCGCGATGAAATTGGAATCTTTTAGCCATAACTCTTCGCTCCCGAGCTGCAATCGGACTCGGTCCGATCCTCGGGAACTGGTTTCAGTCAAGCGGTCGTTTTTCTGTCGATGTTAATAACGATTTCAGGTACTTGTTAGTTTAATGCTAGTCACCTGTTAACCAGGAAGACGAGTCCACTCGTTATTTACGCACAACTGCATCCCCATTAATGCTTTTTAAGTCGTCTACCCGAAGATTCTGGAAATTACTAAGCCTCATGATGCCGCAGCTATAACGCTATATAAATTATGTTCATTTCTTTTCAATTGTACCCCCATGGGCGGTTACAGTCAACGGAACACTCGACAAATGTAACTGTTGCCCCGGTTCATTCCTCAAGTTCACTACCGCGTGCTGATACTCCATTAATCGCTGGATTATGTAATTACAAGTTCATATTTTCAGATAAGTGACAAAGGCAGCTAACGTACGGTGTTATTTGGAACGATAATGGGACGTTCATGAGAGAAATTCGAATGAACGATGAGAACGACATCGTTCCCTTGACCCGTTGCGAATTGTACTCGATAATGTTTAATTGCGAGGGTGATTAAAGACGTGGAAGGATTATTCGCGAAGACAGAGTTCCCATTGAAATGACGACTGACTGATTGTAACTTGTTATTAATAATTGTTTCTTAACACCAGAACCACCAGACAAGTCGAAATTACGCATCTGATGTCTTCTTTTCGCAGTTATTAATAAAATAGCATATGTTTCTCTGAGAAATTATTAAAGAAATTGATTCGGCAGTACGAGAACTGAATTGTAAATCAATTGAGGTCTCAATAGATGCAATCTTCAAGTTTATATAGAGACATTTGAAGAATTCAGTTTAACTGCTCGGTGGGATTAGTTTTAAGTTATAACGACACACTCAAGGCTCGTCCACTGACAAAGGAACGCGGAAACAAAATTTTCTCATTCGACTTTCGGAATTTCGTAACGCGCCTGTTTACTCTCGTTTTCAGCCGTATTTTCTCCGTGTTCCGAACACCGACCGATTCCTGTTCAGAGGCAGAAAGTGTGAACCGCGTATACTTGACAATTCGTCAGATAGGAATGCGTTCTCGCGCGGCGCGTAGTTAACGCATTGAATGCCAATCAAATCGACTTACTATAATTCAGTCGATTATTATTTTCAAACACTTTGAAATTATAGACAATGCTGCTGAAAAGAAAGCAGCGCGATTAAATAATAGTGTAACTTAAGGACTACGACACCGAGTCGTTAATAATTAATTCTAATACCAGTTGTTAGGAACGAGCAAGTAATGTTCTACAAAACGCTCAAAATTCTAGTGACAGTCAACTTGTTAATTACACGATTTCATGCGAAAACCACGTTCGCGAGGCTGCCGAAAACAGAATTGCCGGTCGACCGTTTCACACGAGACACAGCCGACGCGTAACAGGTTCGAGATAAGGCTGAAATTTAAAATTCAAATCGCGTGCCGGTGCTATTTCACGGACACTTATGTCAACACTCGAGTATTCCCTGTTCGGAAAAATTAAAGGATCCGTTCATTCGATACGATCCAGACGTTTTAAGCTTTTAACCGAATTTTCTTTTATTCTCTTCCCAGTGGAGTTGCGAAAGAAATAGTAGGTTAAAAGAATATCATTATTACTGTTGATAATAACGAAAATCAAATTTCTTTTCTTTAAAGAAAACAGACGCGAGCAAAAGACAAAAAGATCGTTCCTCTCGAAGCGAAATGGCAACATCATACAATGACTCACGCATTCGCTCACATACTTCGTCACGCATAATTATTTTCATTATCTTTCCATTCTACATTCTTCCGCACCACGTTCCTCCCAATCTCAACGTAAAATTCGAAGCTCCGCGTACATTCGGAAAAATACAAACGGTACACCCTCGCGTCAACAAACTCGTGAGTCACTCGGTGTCCGATGCGTGCACGACGTTCGGCGCGACAATATGGCGGATAGAATACTGTAACGCTGTGGTTCCGGGGATTGCGACGCAGCTGTCGCCGGAAGTCGCGGGCAAACGTGCAAAACGTCTCGTGCGGACGAAGATCGTTTAAGGTATACAAAACCTTCTACAGATTCTGCTAAATTAAACACTGAATGCTTAAATCATAGAGAATAAGGGAACTATCTACTGATTTCCTGCTGTTTGAGTAATCGAATCAGTTCTCATTCATCTCGACGAAATGTCGACGTTCGTTCGCAAAGGACTAATCTTAATAAAACTTCAAAGTAAGTCACTTTAATTGCTCGGTAGTTTGTTAACCGTATTATGGAAGAGTCTACGGTGGAAATTCACGGGAGGGAGATCACGAGATCGACGAAACGTCGGACGGGGCAGCCTTTCCGAAAGTTTCTTCGCGACGTGACTCCCGGGGCCCGGCATTGTGCGCGAGACGCTTTCAAAAGGGGGATTTCACGGGAGAAGGAAGCGGCCGAGTAATTTTGGTCGGTGCACACACATGCGCCGACATCCTGTCGGCCATGACGGATCGAAAAAGAGCAGGATGGCTCTGCGACGCGTCACGGGAAAGGAAACAACGAACATACATACTACACGTGCACACCGGGGTCAACCGCTGATGGCTGACACGCAATGTTCATTCGTCAGTCCGTCCGTGTGCGCACGGCCACGGGAATGTATGGGTGCAGCAGACAAAACGCACAAAGCTGGCAGCGAGTGGTATCTCGACTGATAATTACGGAAGGGGCTCGAGCGAACTTCCGCCCAATAAAACCCACCCGATTCGAGCGACTGCTAACACCTAACGTGATTTCGTTGCCGAGCCTGCCGGGTTCGAGTGACACGATTCCGTTGGATATTTGGAAACTGAGTTTCTCGACGATGTGCAATTCTTGATGAATTGCAAGTCGAGGGAAAGGATTTCTTCACGAGAAATAAGTTCTTCTATTATTTAAGTGGTTAATTTTATTGAACAGATTCGGAAATTATCGTTTCGTGAAACTCGAGAAACAAAGAGCGAACGCTTTGTGAGTAGACAGTTTTAGAACTTTAGCTGGCCTATGGGATTCAAAGATCCATGATTAAATGACACGGTATTCCATCGAGATGAAAAATATTGCTTTACGTGTATTGTTTGCGATTACTTCTTGTTTAATTGTTAATTCGTCTTGTATCTATTAAAACTTGATAATAGCTAGTTAGTAGATGATTATAATGCACCCGTATGTGAAATATTCGAATTAAGTTGCTTCGTTTCTTAACTTAGACATGTTTCTCTATAGTGAATTTGTAAAGAATGTTGTCCATATCTCAGAAAATGTTAAAAAGCCAAAGGTTAAAACGCGAAACGTCTGCAGTGTGTTTTGTATTTATCAACAGCTGCGGCGATTCGAATTTTTCCGGAAACGCGGAGCGAGATGCACGCGCGCACGCGGGCGACCGACCGCTACGAGCCACGCGTTGAAATCACCAGTGCTTGGTCATCGCGCGCAGCTGTACTTTAAGCCTCCGCGTTCTGAATTATCGTTTTTCTCTTTCAGTATCTTCCAGACACTGCTAGCCTAATCGAGTAACACTGCCAACCAGAAGCTTGATTCGCGATAATTGTGAAGTATTTATTAATTAGACACGAATATACGCGGCGATGCTTGACGTTAAATGGAGTTAAATTGAATTTTATAAATGCTCGAGCGTGTTTCGTTTGTTATTGCTTTCTAACGAACGCTACGTTGAGTCATCTCGACAATGTGAACTGTGGAAATGTTCTTGAAATTCCTGTTGTACGATTTCGTTATCGGATTGCAGATTTTATACAGTTACAACGCTCGTAAACGTGCAACGAGGAATGTTGCGTAAGTGACATGTAAAGTTTAAAGTGTTTCTAATGGTAACTATGAGAATGAAATCTATAACAAATGAACCAAATTTCTGTTAAACTCTACTTTCTGCCAACTAAACTATAAAAATTGATATTTGCATAAAAACAGATGTAGAATACAAAATTGATCACCGACATTTCATTTTGTGGACGACGTATAGACATCAGATCTAACATTAAATTTCTATTTTAAATATTTACAAATACTACATTTTTCTTTTTAATAATTTTAGCAAAGCAAATAACCGTTTCACGTGGATTACAGTGGACAGCGAGTTTCGCGTGCGCCATTCACATTTATCGTGAATAGGAAAAGAGAAACGTTACTATGATAAAGGATCATTAAGTGGGCAGGCGAATCAGAATAAGTGTTAATAATTTTCTTTCGGGACAAGTATAGTCCACAGTGCAGGTATGTAAACCTAACAATCCACCGATTCCGTTACGAACATTTCCATATACCGTCCTTTCCTCAAATCGCACTTTGCCAGGAATGACGAGTGCTAATAACTGCAGGTATAAATACAGGTACAAGGTTTACGACCGTCATCGACGACTTTATTTTTAATTCCTCGCGCGGCATCGAAATGAAAAGGAACCGCGAGAAAGAGAGAGAGACAGGGAGAAAAGAAGGGGAAGAAACATGAGAAATATGTTACGGTTCCATGGATACCGACGACCCAATATTTTATACACATTCTATAAATACGGCAAGGGATTGGACCATCAACCTGACCAATATAAGATTGTTTTAACAACGAAACGGAACGGGAAGACCGAGAAGTTTCCATATCGCAACGTTTTGAAAACATTGCGTGTTATAAATAAATGCGTTGCTTCGCTATCCATGAAATTTTGCATCTTATTAACGTCTAAAAATTCGTACTGGCTATAATTGACAGAAGATTCGAGGTGTAACATTTGTCACGCGAATTTTGCAACATTGACGATGTATAGTAGAAAATTAAAAACAATAAAGAGTCATTGAAAGATCAATCGCGGAGTAAAACATGCGTAAATTTAACATATAAAAAATTCTCTTAAGGAATCGTTGATTATTAAGAAGTTGATGTCCGCGGGGTTTACAAATATTTATTTCTCGTCAGGTAACGAATCTAGTGGCAGTATGGATCCTAGATTCCTGCAAAGGTAAACATTTCGTTGAAGAAACGGGGATTATCTATGGTCGTCAAACAATACTCCAATACTAAGTAATAGCAGGTATATTATAATTTACGGTAAACGACTGTAATAAACGGTCTCGAGTGAATGCCCTACAAGGTCACAAATCAGGCACAATTGTCATATTCTTTGTGCAACTAGAAAACAATAACAGCGCTTGTTGCGATCAGATAAGTCGGCCTGACATTGTACTAAGTGAAAGGAAGAACAATATCCGTCCCAGGATCGATCCCCTATGAACTTCTGTAGGCGGCGTTCTTGCAAAACCCAAGCAGACGAAACAAAAATGCGAAGACCTACTAATAACCCACCATTCTCTACGAAATCAACTCATATACGCAAGTAGAAGGAATAGAGGTTCGTTATTAGCACAATCGTCTCCCTATTCTCCAAGTAACCCTGGTACCAAATATTTCGATAATTTCCCATGCGAAGAGAACACTAAACAATCTAAAACAGTACCCCCTTGAGTCTAATATAAAAAAATTGCCTCGCGAAACAGTAACAAGTCTTTCGCATATTAGCACAACTTCATCTATAACATTCCATAAACCTCTCCTGAATTCAAAGTCGCAATCACTCGAATTCAAGTAAAATTTTCGTAAACTCAGAACTAGGAAACTTCGATAGCAACCAAAAAATCAAAACGTTCAACGAACCAATTGAAAGTTCGGTCCAAGAGAGGGATCGCGATCGTGCTTGGTCCGAGGAGAACGTCCTAGGTTACGTAATCGAATACAAAGACTATAATAACCGGCGATCCGGTGTTTCTTGGAAAATTCGGACAAACGCGGCCGGACAGACAAGTGTCAAAATAACTGCGGCTGACCTGACTGGCCGCGCGGCGAAATATTCGGCCCCGGTGAAGGGGACAGGTTATTTTCAGTGTGTTTAACTGCGGTTAAATACCCGGACCGTCCCTCCAGCGTTTACTGAGTGTCGATTTCAGCCGGCCGGCGAGAAACAATGCTGCCGATTTTCGTGTCGTTACAATGGGACCGACCGGCGGAACCCTGTTCCGCGATACAAAAGGGTGGTCCCGGCCGGTCGCGACCGGTTGGAAAAAGGTTCGCGCTGCATGGCCGAGTACCACCCTTAATCCCAGCTGATTTATAGCGCGTGCGCGAGCGTCGACGACCTCCCAGCTTATTTAAATCTCGCTTAAACGTTCAGCCGTGTTTCGGCGAACGTATCGGGAGATATCCGAGGAATCCCCGTGCGAAATCGGACACCCGTAGTTCAAGTTTGCAGATCGGAGATCGCCCGATGATACCGCGGTAGTATTAAATGGCGAACTCACCTTGCGCAGCGTCTCCAACTCGTCGATCCCCGTGGACGATTGAACCGCCTGCGAAAACAAACGAGGTACCGTTAATAATCGCCAACGTAACTGACGCACGGCTTACTCAAATGTATTTTAACACGTTGAACGCCGCACGATTTCATAGAGCAAAATACACAAAATGGAAAAAATATAATATTAAATCATTTGACTGAATTGGCTTATTATCATTGCACGTTCATCAAACTGAATGTCACCGCAATGGGGAGTTTTATTTATAATATAGAAATGTTTGCGAATAATCATCGTTTAATTGAGTGAATTATAGTAATTCGGTTTGCTTGGGGGTCACCGGTGACCCCCATGGCATTCAACGTGTTAATGTATTTTAACCCCTTGCCTTATTATTTACCTTCGCTACTAAGCTCGCCCAAAATGTTTCAGCGGTTTAGAAAAAAACGCAAAGAAATTGCCCACTGCACTTTATGTACAAATTTTCTTTCAAGGTAATATATTGATAATAAGAAAATAGCTTTTTGCTTTGATCCATTCGCATTGAACAATATTCATGTTTATTAAACTAATCCCGAAATCTTCACGAGTCTCACTCGTCATTACGGTAAGGGGTTAATGTGTTTGAATGTATTTCAACCCTTTGCGGACGAACGACATTTAGGCGAGATGAATTTTCAGATTTGGAAGACTGAGTCGTAAACAAATGATTTAATTACGGCAATAGCAAGAGATCGGCATGTAGTTTCCTATTTTCTTATTGTTCAAGTAATTATTTGAAGTTACAATTTAGCTTCATCTGAGGGTTTTGTATAGTTCAGAATCTTCGTCCGCGAAGGGTTAACTTGGGATTTCTCAATGTTTCTGTGAGCGTTTATCTTCCTAGGAAAAATGGTTCCTTTTGGAAAGAGAAATTCTGCTTTCGTTTCAAAGTGGTTGCCAATATTACGTATTCAACGTTGCAAGAAAAGTTTAAATAGTTTCTGTTCGTTGCATGTGAATTTGGTGTACATATTCGAGTTCAAATTTTATGGAACTACGTTGAAAATGGCAGATTTACACGAGTACCATGATAGCGATTATTTCGAGATTCTTGCTCTTATAAGATCGCTATCATATTCATGTAAATTTTCCATTTTCAATTCAAAATAAATACGGTACCTGGGTAAGGTACACCAAAGGTACGAGAATAATGACCGTAGGACCGTAAGCCGCCTAGCTTCCAGCGGCACGAATCATCTAAGCCATTGTGTATACACAACAACGCAAATAAGACGTACGAGGTAGATACTTAACCCCTTGCACTCGACAATATTCTTCATTGCAAACATTCATGATTTTCTGTCGAAATATTAACAATATTATTTGCAACATACATAAAGAAACATCTTGCATAAATTATGAGGCAGAATTGTTTTATTTCTATGTTTCCTGTGTTAATACCTTATTCAACATTTCATGTTGAATCTTTTATTTCATAATTCTGCGTTCAATCAAATGGTGACTAAGAGTCCTCTCGAGTGCAAAGGGTTAACCCTCTATAGGTAAAATTACTTTTCATCGCAATAAAAACATGTGTAGTATAAAATTAACAGATATCAAGCTGTAAATGTAAATTAACAATGTATTCAATAGTTTTCATAATTACATTAAACCGAGTGCCTCTCATCACTTTTAAATCACAATGACGAACTTCACGCCACAACGTACGAAACTAAATTAATCAATCACTAAATTTTACGCGTCACTTTGCCATGGAAAATAAAATCAACAAAATGCCACTATATCGTTGTACGATTTCAAAGTGACACAAGCTTAAGGGTTAAAAAGTTGCTTTCTATTTACCTCGATCTGTTTCCACAAGTTCACGGTGTCCTTCCCGGAAACCCGATTTTCCGACCTCGTGGCAGCATTGCCGAAATTGATGAGCGAGAAGAAATTGTTGTCGACATTCCCGTTGGTGTCCGGGCTCTCGACGATCGCGTTGTCGAGAAGCTCGTAATCCAGCGACTTCGAGTCACGGCTGCTACTGACGAACGCCCGGGCGAAGCTGCTTTTGAAGAAATGCTCGAGCGACACGTCGCTTCCAAGAGCGAATTCCACTTTCGAAGCATCGCCCATGATTTCCCGATGAAGGTGTACCCGTCCGCGAAAAAGAGCCCGGTTTTCCAGCCCGAAACGAGGTTAGTTACCTTTCCAGGTGCGCAACCCGGAAACTAGAGAACGAGAAACGAAAAACGCACGATCTCGTGCATCCCGCGAAAAGTTGACAGTACAGCGCCGTCGGTTGACGGTGAAACGATCCCGCGACTTCTCTGTACCGTTCCCGTAGTTTTCACGTGTTTTATCCGGCAAACTAGAATGTCGCGTTTGATCACACTTTGAATGTTGTAGAATAATCTTGTACAAATAGGATGTATATATATCGCGCGTGGTAGTGTTTTATTATAGGATTCGCAGAGTATTCGTTGATCGGGATTATTTGAAATGTTATACCGGAGTGAAAGACTCGACACATCACACACAGTCCGAAACACACAGCACGCCACTGCGTGTCAAACTGACAACGGCTACCGCTCGGATACGTTAAGCCGATGCCCGAGGCCTCGAGCCTTCGCACGGTGAAACACGGAAACCGACTATAGAGAATAGCGTGTTGCACATGCGCCTTTCTACTCGCTACCTTAATTCGTTAGTTCGGACGGAGAATTATTTCATTCTATCTGATGAACGAGACCGCAGATTTGTTTATTTTATTTTTCAGACATTCCTTGGTAATTATAAATAGAATTTGTATTTGTGTTTGTGTTTAATTGAATATTGTATTTGTTTAAAATGTAGCCGTTTGGAAAATTGTAACGTCGGTAGATTTGTCAGTTATTTGGAAGTTTCAGGATATTTATTTATAAATGTTTTTGTGGTTTAATTATCGGTTCGAATATACTAGTAAATGTTCAAGTTTTTAGTATGATCGGTTTTTAAAATTTCATTAATTACTTGTGGTCGGAAGATAATTATATGTTACGACACTTCGTTAAAGTTTATTGTAGCGATTAAATTTTCGGAATGATATGTTTTTTGTTTAATCATATTTTTGATAGAAAATATAAAACTTCAAATTTATGATTTGTAAGCCTGTGACATTGTTCAGCGAAGGAAAAAGATAATATTCTCCTGTCATAGAAATATTTTCTATTTATTTTGTTTAATTATCGGTGTATAGCATTTAATGATAACTGACCATTAGAAGAAAGAAGATTACGGACAGTATCAATAGATGTCGCTGATGTAGCATTCACTAATCAACAATGAAACTTTTCGCACTATATTCTGTTTCATGATTATAGACTTATTTACAAAATTAACGGTGGAGGAAGTGTTTTCGGTGCAAATACAAAGTTTCAATTGAACAGATTTATATTAAAATATGTTAAATATTTCTTTTGTAGAATTCAGTTTGAATATATAGGATACCCTATTCTTATTGATATTAACCTATTGTTGTATCAGTTGATGCTAGAAAATATTGAAAAATTCTAGAAATAAAGAACAATTGAAATTGTACAATGCCGCGATTGCCACTTCATCATGCTGCAGGAAGTTGTCGCGGCAGTTTGATGCCTAAAACGATACGATTAGTTCGTTATGGATGCACGAATAGACCATTCTATCACATTGTTCTAGCGGTGGTAAGTTACGATTGCTTGACTATTTAGTAAATGTAAACTTAAATATATTGTTTATATAAATATAAAATGTATATTTTTATGTGTAGTATATATATATTTTTACACATTATAATTATTTTGTAGTTTTGACTTAATGTAGTAAATGATTTTGTTTTAGACTCAAAGGGAGCAGCACCAAGAACCATTAGAACAACTTGGTTCCTATGACCCTATAGCAAATAAATATAACGAATTCTTAGTTGCTCTAAATTTAGATCGCATACAACATTGGTTGATGCATGGTGTTGGAGTTTCGGAACCAGTTGCTCAGCTCTTCGGACTTGCTGGTATATTTCCAATACATCCCAGAACATACATGTTTGCATGGAGAAATCGAAGAGATGGACCAAAGGCTTCTGAAAACGAAAATTCAGAACCTAATAAAGCTGCAGAGTCAGTTGCTTAACATGTCTATCTTGTTTTAGTTGTATTTTACACAAATCTTGTAAATAATATAGATATACAAATAAAATTATTAGAAAAATATACATTTGATTAATTATATATAATAGAAGGAACAAGACTCTAGTGATTGTAATTGTATACAGAAATAAGAAATATTTTCATTTTTGGTAAATTTTATTTATATGGTTTGTAATTATATTTTAAGTAAACAATGTTGGAAACTCTCGTGAAATGAAAATGAAAAAAAAAAGATAATTTCCCCAGGTGAGGCTCGAACTCACAACCCCGGCATTGCTCATGGATATACTGTCTTATAAGTACCGTGCGCTAACCGATTGCGCCACTGGGGAGTTGTAGTTTCCCTTTTCTTATTCAATTATATAAGGGAAAATATGAAAACTATTCATAAAAATATTTAATATGTGTAAAATATTTCTTTTTATATGTTATTAAGGAAAATAATTCAATAATAAGGTTGCTTTTTATAGTTTATACTTCTAAATGTAACCTATAACATTATCTACAGTTAAAGTGTACCTACATAATTTTTAATGCATTGGTATCTGTATCATAATAATTATGAATATTTTTGTGTATATTTTCAAGTTAATGTGAAGACACAAGTAGTAGTTAAGCTCAAATGAAACAAATCTTTATTAGTACTTTATTGTAACAGTGACCATACACTTGGATACAATTAAATTTATACATTTAGGAGCTTCTATTTATTTCTTATTATTATTACAATCTTTGTCCTTTGGTATCTTGCACTATATCATTTTTATTTTTATTTTCATATAAGTCAACTGCATTACACAATTTTTGCCATAAATGTACAAGTTCATTGTCTGCAATAGACTTTTCACAAAAGTTTGTTAACAAATTTTGGTTTTCATTTGTAAAGTTAATACCTGAAAGGAATAAGAAATAAGTATGCAAAATGAAGGATATAGTTCACAGTTAATACCTTCTGATGTAGGGTAAATATTAAAGAAGTGTCCACTTTGCCAAGTTTGTTCTAAAAATAATAGTGACCACTGAAACTGTAAGTAAATTTGTTTAACATTTTCAGGAGAATGTATGAACACTGTTATGCCTCCATTTTTATCCCTACATGGTTTATATGTTGCATATTTTATCTTTTTCAATCGTGCTAATATCTTTCTTCTTGATTCACTTTGTGTACTATATTGTGAAATTGCTAAAAAAAATAAAAAAAAATAAACATGGCATTTTGCTGGTAACTACACAAATATACTATAGAAGTTATAAAATACCAGACATTAAAAGTGCAAAATTTTTCAGTCTACTGATGTTTTGTACCCATGATTGAATTTCCAATAAATAGCAATTATTAAGTCCTATAAAATGACATGTGATATTTTGAATTTCAAATTCATTTTCTCCCTAAAACGGAAATAATATATTTCTTTTCTGTCTATTGAACATTGTAGTTATTTTATAAATATACCTCTATCTTCACTGTTAGCTCTAAGATACATTGCAGAGCCGATGTTATCATTTCAGCAATATATTTATAAATGTTATTATTTAACCATTCCCTATCTATGTTTTCAAATCTTATACCCATAACTTCACAAGTTACTTCGCAAAATGTATGTTTAACATGTTCATGTAATTTATTCTCTTTAATCTTAACATTTCTTAGAGTGTTTGATTCTCTGAAATAAAATTAATACCAATAATTATATTATCCTCATTTTTACAATTAGAAAAACTGATATATTAAATTGATATTAATAAGATACAATTCTGTAGTAGAGAAGCATTTTTGACCATCTATTTCTTGTTGTTTTAATTTTGCAACCAAATCATTTGCCTCCTTAAGTAATTTTGTTTTTAAATTTCTTAATTTAATTAACTCCTGATCCTCCATCATTGCTGAAATGCTACAATGCATAAATTATAAAAAATTTGATTTTTATTATATGTATTAGAATTAATAGTTCTTTTACAAATTACTTGACAGAATACGAGTTTGTTATAATTAACAAACAACTGATTTGACTAAAACGTGTTTAACTGATATATCTATAACAACGCAAGTGCAGTTGCTTATAACGATAACTTAAGTTTACTATTATGGTATGAATATAACCTCAAATCTGTAACATCACTATCGTTTATGTCAGTAAGCACGTATATAATCCATACATCATTTTTAGCTTTAAGTAAATAAGCTATATGATATTTATTTCTTTTTAAGTGTAAGCAACATTGTTTATGAATATATTTCTGTCAATCAGATAATCACATAGCAATTTATATTATTTGCTTTTAAAATTTCATATACTACTCAAGGAAAATGTCTCAGATATATTTAGTACCTTGAATAACGAGAAAATAAAAGAATATTATTTTCTAAATACTAGTATTATAAAAATTATATGTATTTTGATACAATGGATGATGAAACATTAAATAGGTAAGAGTATTTCAAATTATAATATTGTAGTATATATAATTTCTGTTACAATATGATATTTGTTGAAATAAATTTAATGATCTACCACATAAGATTATTTGGTATTGTAAAATGTTATAAATTGTTTAACTGCATGATTTTTTAAGCATTAAATAAGCCTTTGTCATTGATTGATAACTATCAGACTATATAGTATAAACAAAATCCAAAGCTTTTATGTCTTCTGAAGTTTTCCTTACAACGTGACTTACAAAAATATAATTTGTACTACATGATTTAGTTATTCTGTATAATGATAATAAGAAAAATTATTTTATGTATAGACTAGCAGTTGAGGCTATATTAAAAGAAGCCAAGCTTGGAGCACAAAGGGCTGAGATAATGGGTCCAAGTGGGTGGATGAAACCAAAGGAATCTATTAATAAAAGATTTCTTCACTCTACTTTATGTAATGCTGTTCTTTCGAATAAATACCGTACAAGAAGAAAAGAGAAAGCTAAAGATAAACAATTGCATAAACAAGAAAATACTGTAACATAATTAGTATTGTAAACATTAAACATTTATTTTTAAGTATAAAAAAATTGTATTATATAATATTTTATTTTATTTTGTTCGAGAATTAAATTAATTTCACTTCCTGTATGTGAAATCTTCAATGTAATGTATTTACATAATAAAAAAAATTTAGAATCAAAGATATTCATTTAAATGGCTTAACTACAAACCTGCTAACAATTTTATAATGTAAACACATGTAAGAAATGTTAATGGTAAAAAATAAATCCTACATTAAGTAAAAATGAAATATATACTTAATACAAACATTGTTTTATTGTAACATTCTTGTGTACATAAAAATTGTTATTAATGCATTCTATAATTTAAAAATCCAAAATACATTTTAATAAAATATCGTACTGCTGTACCTTATGTAAATATTTTTCCATATCAGAATACAAATAAGTTAATAAAATTAAGAAACAGGTCACATTATAATTTTACGTATGTAATTATTATAAATTTTAATATGAGTCAAGTTGTTATATTTTTTCAAATCAAGTGTACTAATGAAGTATTATATTTCAAGCGAAAAACAAATTTAAAAATTCGAAATGATTTTTCTATTGTATCGTGAAGTAAAATGGTATTATTAAAAAACTAGTTTTCTTTATTGTTATTAACAATTCGGATATCACGTGTTGAAATGGCGTTTTCGGCACTTACCACCAGAGTACTTAAGATCCTTCCTTCTTTTGCACCGCCATCAGCATACTTGTAGCGTTGTTACTGCATTTTCTAAGCGTGGAAAAATAGTTAACTGAAAGTAACGTTAATTTATTCCTGAAATCATGGCACAAACAATTAAGGGGCTCTGTAGAGTCAATTTCTGTCTTGCAAAAAATGTGTTCTTTAAAAATAATCCGTTTAATGGTATGTAATCTTACTAACCTAAAATATTGTATTTCATTTCAAATCAATAATGTATTGATAGTGTAAATAGGATTATATAATTTATAATTTTGTATCTCATTGTTTGCTTTTGTTTTTAATACATAATGAATCCTTTTTTTGTTGTGTTAGCTCGTGTTCGGTTTCTGTATACGGACAGGGCTATAGGTATAACAGCATACGAACAGGCAAGAAAAATGTTCTTAACTCAATTTTCGTCAGTATCAGAAATATTCCGTGCTAAAATGTTGGAAGTTTGTAAGACACCAAGCTCAACGATTTTTACTGAAGATATGAAAGCAATGGTGCATTTAATTAATAACAATGAAGAAGACATACAATTAGTAGAAGCAATGCTGCAAAAATACCGTGAAACCAACAGGGACATGCAGTTTGGTACATATGTGTTTGGTCCAGTCGTAATGAGAATGTATACATATTTACAAGAACCAAGGAGAGCTTATGAGTCATTTAATAACCTTTTTGAAACATCATTCTATAAACAAATGACAACAGTTCAAGTTTTGCTTAATCTCTTGTACAAGTATGAAATGTATCAAGAAATTAAAGTCGTATATGAAAAAATTTCAAGTACAGATTCTTGGAAAGGTATGGCTAACCGTTGTATGTTTGACCTGATGGCTGGATGTTATAAAGAGGTAAGAATATTACCTCTTATATTATTTGTATTTATCCATGTATTACTTATACTTATTTATTATTTCAGAATACCAAAGAATCATTAGATTATGGAGCTGCGAAGTGGAAGGAATTGATGCACCAGGGAATTAAGCCAAGTGCTAGGGGTACTTCACTTTTAGCATATTTAGCGATAAACCAAAATTCTCCTGAATTAGCTTTAGAAACACTGTGTGCGATACAGAATCAGAAGCTTGCCAGTGTTGTAAGTCTAAAGTGTCTTGCTTGCACATATTTGAAGAGATATGTCAATTTAATTACTCTGATAAAACCCATAGTGTTTAATGATCAGATAGTAATGAGGCGCAATTTCTTTAAAGAAGTGGTATGTGAAATTAATCTTTCTAGACCTAAAGAGTAATTTGTAAGATTAACAGTATTGATAATGTTCAACTAAACTTGACATTTTTTTGTCAGCTATTCAGAATAGAACAGTTTATTTTATCTAATCCGTCAGAAGGATCTGAGGATACATTGAAGTTAATAAATGATATCAAAACAGCGGGCAAGATTATAGAAACTGTAAGTTAGTTTTAAAAGAACTTAAGAAATACTAGAATATTTTGATTAGTACATACTTTTTCATTTCTTCCGTTTTTAGACAACTTTAGAGGATGTTTTATTAAGACCCTATGATACCGTACTACCAAGTGATCAATTTAAGAATGAATCAATACATAGAAACAATCATGAACAGAGAAAGCATTACAATGAAGTGGGGCAATATGCGCGTAGGAAGTTTTTGTAATGTATTATGTATTAAGACTTTTGTAACAGTTATATGTATTAAAATTATAATTAATTATACTAAGTGTTAGTGTATTAGAATGAATATATCTTTCATTGTACACTAATATAAATTGAGTAAAATATATCCTACATATACTTGTTTTTTATATATAACAAAATACTTGTAATTAGTATTACTATGCAAAGAAGACAAACGTGCAAGAGAAATTAAAAATATATTAAAAATTAAGATTTTTGTATTTAGTGTACGTTCATGTAAATATTGCTATTCAATAAGTACACTATTACACGGGAGAGATCATTACTTTAAGTTATTAAATGCATTGCGTTTTTATTTTAACCAATTTTATCGAATCTAGATACATTTCGAACTTTGATTTGTATATATTTATTGCATTGCATACTACGCGAATAGTTTTATTACAATCAATGAAGACCTAATTGCCTTTTCATTTATGAAATTGAAATTTGCCCGAGTTCTATACAATATACAAAATATATCTATTACACATTAAGTGGTGATACTCGTTAACAAGAGGTAAAACCAGCGACACAGTTGCGGCAGGATTTCCGAATCTGAAAATTCAAAGGCTCCAATAATTTTCAAACAGTAATCTCTTCCCACATTAAACCCCATATTTTTTCATCGATCGAGATCACAGAGACTCTAAAGGCTATTCGAAGTCAGCTACAAAACTCAACCGATCCCAATAGTTGCGCACATAATTCAGAGTGATTCTCCCAAACAAGATTCGATCAACCACGTTATTGATCGATCAGTGAAAAAAAGAACCTGCTTCCCCCCTAAAATCACTCAGAATCAAATTCGTCCGCGATTAACGGATCTCCTAAATATGACGTAACCCGTGTGTCGGAATTAAAAGAATACACCGTGTACCATGTCCAAGTATGGCAGCGGTTCACTCGATGGTCAAGAAGGATATA